ATTCATACCTCTTTCATCACCAAATGAATTCTGCTGTCAATGGTGTCATATTACATAACATTCAACATAGCAGCGTTTCAATAAGTCGGTCAGATACAATTTCTCAATACTAATAATTATTCCAATGATTATCTATGAATATCTCACCAATATGATTTTAATCAATTGACGACTCATGAGCAATAGAAAAACCAATACATTGAATCGAGATACTTCATTTCCTTATATAATCGCTTATACAAATAGGTGGTTTTATAACATATGTATGAGGATAGTAAAATTCTCTCTGAATGAAATTTATTTTCCTCGAGAAACAGAATTTGACTATATATGTATTGTTGAATGCTTTTATCAACGATCAAGTAAAATAGACAAGGAAAGCAAGTCGTTTATTGTGAATTTCTGGATGATAAAACGAAGCTCCAACAAGATCGATCTGTGCAAATGGTCCTATTATGATCGTCTAATCTTCACTACTTCAGAATTTTCAGACCGTATTAGACTTTGTTCCAAGTCAGCAAATACTACATTACATCTGATTGAACTTTCAATGTGTAATCGCTAAAGGAACTATCCTGTTTCAAGAGTTTGGCCCGTTTCAATATCGTGTGTTTTTATAGCTCCATATCTCAATAAATATGTATTCTACTGTCGTCGTTTATACTGATCGATAAAGAATTTTGTACTCCATACATTGATGCTGTCAATGTTATTGTCAACTTTGAATTTTTGTCTTTTTTCAGCTTATTACTATATTACTATACAAATTCGAGTAGAACCAAAACGCTGCTGAAACATCCCGACAAACTACCAGGCATTTGGTAATGACAGTGTTAACGAAAGCACTGTTAGACCTTGGTTTGCGAAATTTTATTTCGAAGATGATCCTCAGATTGTTCGACCTACAGTAATCCAGGACGAGGATTTGAGGATCCTGGTGGAGACTGACCCATCACAAACGGTGCGTGAGATGGTGGCAGAACTGGGCGTCAGATCCCATGCGGTTTCTGATGGTTAAAAAGTATTAGAAAAAGAAAATGTCTCGAAAAGTAGGTGCCTCACAATTTCAACGATCAACAGAAATTGTTCAAGGTCTGTTTTTCTTGTTCTTCACGTGTGTTCTTCTTTTCGTCATGTGTCCTGGAAAGTGGATCCCTTACAACAGGAGACATTCAGGACAGTGGTTGGACACCGAAGAGCCACGCAGGTACTTCACCAAGGCGAAAACCCACCAAAAAAAGACCATGGTTACTATATGTTGGTCAGCGGCTGGTTTAATTTACTATAACTTTCTACAACCGGACCCCGAAGAATCACAGCAGAGTCCTTTTATGAGAATATCGGCGAAACGTACCGAAAGTTGCGTCAACAGCAGCCGGCATTGGTCAACAGAAAAGGTCAGATCCTGCTCCTCGACAACGAATTGAGTGTCGAAGTTCTGCCTTACCTACCATTTTTCCCAGACTTCTGGCCAACCAACCACCATCTTACAAGTACTTTGATCACTTTCTCACCGGAAGAACCTTTGCCAATCAGGACCAGGCAAAAACGGTCTTCGTCGATTTCATCGAATCCCGAGCACACAATTTCACTGATTCAAATGACGCTTATTTCGAATAAATTGAATAAGTATTCACTGATATATATTTTAAAGTAGACTCATGAAATCGAAACAACCTAATATACCAAAAAATTGTTAATCATGACAACAATCAGTGAATGAATTATAAAATAGTATCGAAAAAAATACTGAAAATTTATTGATTCAAGTAACGAAAGCAGTGCCAGCGAGGTGATTACTAATATCAATTGATAACTCAAGGTCACAGTATTTAACAAAAAATAAAGTTCTTAGCTCTCAAGCAGCCATTTTTCACAGCTCTAGAAAGTCATTTTATTCAGTAAATTTTTCAATGAGCCTTTAACATATCAAATTCGGCAATTTTAATAACAGAGAGAATATATATGAAACATATCTGCTTTGTCAAGCACGAAGTTCAGGCTATTAAGTGCAATCAGTGTTGCCAGGTCATTTTCATACTTAGCAGTAGGTTTCGTATCAGAAAGGAAGTAAATCGATACAAAAAACAGTGGAAAATATATTTTATAGATAGATACTACATACATAGTATTTTCCAATATTTACTTATTTATTAATTATCATTATAGAAAGTAAATTGAGTCATCAGTATTAACTCTCAGAGAGCAGAACAGTAATTCGAGAACTAAAATAGGATATCTCTCGTGCGATTTCTTCTCCATCTGCCATGAATTGATTCGCAATATTCCGCAGTCTTATTGCATTACGGTTTCATTGTACGCCCAATCATAAATGTCCTATCCTCAAATGTCTTTTAGACAGGATAACTGTTATAACCTAACAAACCGAACGTCATGAATTTTTTTAACCTTTAATTTGTTTTCGAATATTTCAAATAAGTTATTTCCAGCAGGGACAAATCTGGCCAATCAATAATCATGAAAATCGGTCCAGTAGTAACAGCAGATAAAATATTGGGTTTGCCTGTACTATTATTTTCATGAATAAACTGACTGGCATAATATAAACTATACTCAGTTAAAACGCTAACTTACTACCTGTACTGAAAAGTCTACAGCCTAACACATAGTCTAATTGCATTAGTTAGCTGACGTAAAAATATCAACGTGTTGGTTTTAAATGGGCTTGTTTCATGCTATGGAAAATGATACTGGTTTGCTTATAGACTGATCGAGTTAGGGGTATATTATACTTATCAAGCCTAATCGGTCCCAAAATCTCTTTATATTTGCAGAAAAAAGAATAATTCGAAAAGCAAGAATTTGAATTGGCCGCGTATCTGCTGACCAATAAAATTGATCGTGTCTAGAGCGGAGTTGCCAAGTGTATTGGTTTTTTAATGTCCAATCACAGATACGATGATCCAATTTGACAGACGACATTTTGTTGTTATTGTTGTCAAGTCGGTTGAATACAACTGTTACAATTATCTAATTAAACTTTTTTTGTAAAAGGTAGGTCTCGGCGGGTGACAATTTTGCTAAATATTCCGTGTCATTAGTTTATATTTCGAAAAATATTTTTTCAGGTTATTTCTGGATTGATATGTTCTGGAGTAATTCTTCATTTGACTGTACATATTTTTGCTTCTTTTTTCAGTCACCATACTGCTCCTCGGCCAAGATAAAATAAAAATTAAATCTCCATCCTTCGATAAAGTCTGAAATGAATGTCATATAAATAAAAGGGACCTACTAAATACACCACCTACCGTTTCAATTTTTCATTCTTCATTTCGGTACCAAATGCAAATTTTTCAAGTAAAATTCATCGATCATTTCAAAATCGACTCTTGGAAAGTTGTCGGGATTCAGCTTGAACAAAACTAGGCTCAACATCACAAACCATAGAGTAAGTAGTTTATGCTCAACATTCATTTTGAAATTATTTCAACAAAAATACGAAGTTTGTGGAAACCGTTGACATTAGAAAAAGCACATTATCGCATTCACTACAGAAGGCGCTGGCTGACTGGATGTCAATATGGCTAGTATACAAGTAACGTTGAATTACTTATTTTTGGTGGGTAGCATGAATGGATAATTGATTTATTTTATTATGAGCATGAGCATTCGAAAACCATTTGAAAATACAGTTCGTTCAATTCTATTTAGAATCATATTTAGATATAACTTGTACTTGACGTCTGCTTTCAGCTTTTTGTCCCCTTTAAAAGAGGTAATAAAAACTGGGCTCACAACACTAGTTGTTAAAAAAAGTAGAACACGGCAATTTAATCCCCAATCGTGGGTAAAAGTAATGAAAAATAATCCAGAACTCGTATTTTCACATTCACTAAATGAACACACTGTGCTCCTGCCTGAAATCTTTCACTACTGATTCACATTTTAAAATGTTGGAAAGGGTCTAGGCTCCCGTTCACGAATCAAAATGTTTAATATCATTGTTGAACTTCTTTGTCCCACTCATGAGAATATTTCACCTAATTTGTGAATATATATTTATCGTTTGTTTTGCAGATTCTTAAAAAGGGGACCAATGAAATGAAAATTCGAAAAACCCAGACGCTGTTCGCGTCGCGTTCGCTTTGCGTACGCCCCTGATACAATAGACTGCATCGTTTGTATTAATTACTGGTTATGTTGAACTTATTAATAAGACTGGCATAACATTTCGAAGGAGGGTGGTTACATTCGCGGTTGTGAATCAGTTTAAATATACATTACTGAATGAAAGAATGTATATTATTCTTACTCACATATCAAAATCGAGTGAGGAACTTTCGAGAAATCCCTATCAGATGGGACCGATGTGTGATGGGTCGAGTGATTACAACATCAACTCAAATTGCCGTGCGTCTATTTGAATATTCGAGATACCCGGGAGGGCTAGAAAATTATAGATGTGTTCATCAGAAGATTTTGAGCCAGGCCTTGTAATTTCGTGTGGGAAGAACGGTATGTGAAATTACATGATTTCTGGGAAAATCTGATTGGATTGACGTATGTGTGATATCAACAACTCAACTGACTAGTTAAATTTCATTTTCATGATCCGTATATTGAATGTTGAAAATAAATTTATAGCCAGAGTACCTACTACATAATGTTTTAGGCGTTTGAAAAATGTTTCTTAAATGCTGGCAGTTCAAAGTTAATCAGTTTTCAACGCTTCCGATCCCAACAATTCGGTCAAAACCACTCTTATAATAAAACAAAGGAAGAAGAGTAAGCTGAAAAGTGCAAGGAACAGGCAAGTTTTGTTACCAGGGCCACATGAAGGATGTCTTTCAGACGATACCAAGTGACCATTCTGGTGAAGAGGGGAGTTTTAGTGATTTTAACACTTGCTCCTAATCAAAAAAAGTTCAAGTCCGATTTTTTAATGAGTAATTTCCCCGTGTAACTGAAGATGTCATCCAAATCACCTCAGATGAAGTTGATATGGCTGCAGTTGTTTTTGTAACAAGTTGTTTCGGCCCGAATTTGACTTAGAGTTGATTTAATAGATTTATTTTGACGTAGAACTTTCTGAAATTATAGGAGATTTTTAAAAGTAGTAGTGCAGAAAAAGTAATGTTTTCAATATGTGTCTGTTGATCAAAATATGTACAATTATCCATTATTAGCATTATTAACACTATGTAATGTTTTCATGTTTATTCACTGTTAAATACTTCCAGTTTTTACCTTTTCATTGACTTATCAGAGTATCTGAACTACATCAGACGATATTTCCGTATTCGGAAATAATTGCGTATTTAAGAGAGTAACATATAAATAAATTGAGTATACATTTGTTTTAAGGTATATATTCCTCCAGTTCAGGAACCTGAGATAGAAAGATATGCAAAAAGTGTAATATTTTCTTTCCCAGCTGAATCGCCTATTTCGATAACAACATATTGACCTACGTCCCATGTACATGTGTATAGTGCCCGTATCGAAACTAATGTATCGTTAGAATATATATAAAAAATAAAATATTCATAAGCCAATTCATCCAATGTATATTCTATCAGTCGTAAATTGGTAAATTATCAAAGATCAATTAAACACTCGAATTTAAAAATGATAGTTTGTTTTTTCAAAAACTACACCTCAACGATTTGATCTCCACAAACTTTATTTGAAAAATATATCACAACATGTTTCGCTAACACATTAGCTTTTTCATTAGCTTCACAAATCACTTGAAAAAGCTAATGTCTTAGCGAAACATGTTGTGATATATTTTTCAAATAAAGTTTGTGGAGATCAAATCGTTGAGGTGTAGTTTTTGAAATTACTCATCAAGGAACGGCCGAATCAATCAGAAAATGTTAGTATGTGTTGACACTACAGTTACCAGTCCGCCTTCCATCTTTCTCATTTTCTAATAAACTGTCGGTTTTTATTTCGTCTCCATGGTCTGTAGTGTGTCAAATCTATGAAGATCCTATGAATTTGACATACGTGATATATTCGAGAATCTATTCACTAATCCGGTTCCATTTGCGATTTCCTTTTGAATCCGAACAGCAATGACTTTCCTGCTGTACCCAATTCCTAGATACTGTTCGAGGACTCTTTCTGTTCTAAGCTTGGATGACAAACCAGTTATATACAGTGCCTTCATTTCAAAACTTCCCACCCCTATCACTTCGTTTAGCAGGGAGAATTTGCCGTAGGCAAAAAACACGTAAAAGATCGAAAAGGAATTTAAAACCGGTGCCAGTGGTATTTTAGGTTTAACCCCCTTACCCCTACCTACCCCCACTTAATAATTTCGAATGGCACCCTCTATCTTGTAACACATCATTTTAAAGATCTTACAAATCTTCACTCAACCCCGTTTAGAAAATTGAAATTGGTTGATCCGTTCTCGTAAAATAGGGCAAAAACAAAATCAATTATAATAAAAAATAAAATAATAGCTATTGTAATTAAATAAATGTACCTTACTTTATTATGTGTTCAAAATGTTCACCATTGGTAGCTAAGCGAAGGTACAATCTATTCTCGAATTCCTGTCAGACTTTTGTATATGTTTCGTTATTAATTTATCTGCATGTGTCAGTAATCCTGTGTCTCAGATCCTCAGTGTCCTGCGGGGGAGTTTTGTATACCATTGTCTTCAAATAACCCCAGAGAAAGAAATCCAATGGCGTTAAATCCGGAGATCTCGCCGGCCATTCCAGAGCGTCTCTTCTGCCGATCCATTTGTCAGGATACCATTGATCGAGCCACTGTCGGACACGCAATGCGTAGTGTGGCGGCGCGCCGTCCTGTTGAAAATGTAAATTTTGTTCATCCAAGAGCGGGTTGGCTTCTTCATCAACTTGACGTTTTAAGGACTGTGTTCGATTACATTTTCCAATAAGTTTAAATACAATTGACCAGTTAAATTTTCTTCAATAAAAATAGGCCAATTATTTCTTTTCCCAGAATTCCAGCCCAGACGTTTATTTTTTGTGGATATTGCGTATGATCCTCTCGAAACAAGTGTGGATTTTCATTATCCCACAGTATCTACAGTTATGCTTATTTATAAAGCCATTAACAAAAAAAGTTGATTCATCACTGAAGCGAATATTTTTTATTAAATTCGGGTCATTTTGAATTCTCGCAGTCATTATTTCACAAAATTCAATCCTCCTATCATAGTCATCCTCACTGAGTTGCTAAAGAATACTCATTTTGTAAGAAAAGAACTTGTTTAGTTTTAAAACTTTGTGTATAGAACCAACTGAAATATTTACTAACTTAGCGACTTTCGAAATTGAAGTAGTAGACTCAACGGCGAATTGGCCTAAAATCTCAATCTGTGCGGTTTCCGTAAGAACTCTCGGCTGCTTTACTGCTTTGTTCCACTGCTTTACTGCTTTGTTACTGCTTTGAACAAGGTCTAGAACATATCGGTGACTCACATTTTGGCCTGCATGCTTTTCATTAAAAACCCGGGCTGTCCTAGGAGCACACCTATCTTCAGCACCATAAATAAAAATAATTTCAGTTCTTTCTTGTAAAGTGTACACCAATACGATTTGTATTACTGTCAATGCAACTGATACCACTTGACAAACAGTTTAAAAATCTGTTTAAAATCTGTTTTTCCGTTAATCAGCTGTCACACCCCTACGAACGACAACCCTCAGAAGTCGAAACTTGTGCGAGCTAAGGATTAACGAGGTCTTACCTTTTAACGTGTGATTCCTAAAATCAGGAATAACTAATTCTGATAAATGTTTTCACCATTTAATTGTAACTGACGCCAAGAAGCAACTGTGTGCCCTTATCTCACTTTCAGCTAAAGCAAAACACTCTGTATGAAAAAGAGACATAAACATACCGTTATTGAGTCAGTGGTAGCGGTTCCATAAATTTTTGCATTTTGTTATAATTCATTTTCTTTTTGCCCTATTTGAGAACGGATCAACCAATTTCACTTTTCTAAACGGGATTGACTGAGGTTGTTTAAAATCTTTAAAAAGACAAGATAAGAGGTACCTTGGGAAATTATTAAGTGGGGGTACCTAGGGGTAAGGGGGTTAAACCTAAAGTACCACTGGAACTGGTTTTAAATTTCCCCCTCGATATTTAAATTGACGTGTTTTTTGCCTACGGCAAATTCTCCCTGCTAAACGAAGTACTAGGGGTGGAAAGCTTTGAAATGAATGCACTGTATGACACAGGTATTATAGTATAATAGTTTTTAATTTGATATTTCATATTTTACATTTTATCATTCAATATTCATTTATATTCATAAAGTATCGTATTTGTCCATTTGATATATTCAATCATTTGTAACACTTTACGTAAATATGCTTTATCCGTCCATATTTGAGTCCTTTTGAGATTAACATAACTTACAGAAAAATTAAAATCATTTTATTTTTACCCTGGTTACGTAATCTTCACTGTATATGAATATTTCAATTTTGATTATCATTACGAACGCACCATAACGCACCTCAACATAACAGGTGCAGAAAGTCGAATTTTCATGACTGATTTGAAGTAACGTGTTTAACAGTACATATTTGGAAAAAATACTCATTTTTAATATCCAATTTTCTATAAGTAACTAGATATTGAAATAAGTATTTAAACCAACATCTTATGTTTTCATGAATGTGTTTATTTTAGTGACGATAATTTACTTCCTCAAATTTCGAAACAAATTTGATAATTTTTTTATTCCAGCTAATTTGTGCTCACAAATTTTATTTATATTTTCAAAGTGTACAATTTAGCAATTGAGCAATATACCTGCCCAGCAATTAAGTTATTGAATTTATATTTGGTGGGAATGACAGTATTCCATGTAAGTGAAATTTTACCTCTTTCATTTATTATATTGTGTAGCAATCCTGTGAATTATATCTGATTCAATTCCGTAACAAATGTTTGGAATACAAACTGGATAGAGAAACGTGTATTTGTATTATTTACAGTGGCAATATATATTTCAAAAAATCCCAGAATGGCCAATATTCCAATATTCGTAAAATTCATCTCCACCTTCTTCATGCCCCATTGATTAGAAGAAATCCAACAACTTTAGCATCCACTGACTGACTTTTGCCTCTACTAGTTCTTACACTTTTTTGTTGTTGCAATTTCGAAAAATGTAATTATTATGTACAACTATGATAGAGCTTTCTAGCGGTGGAAATAAATAAACGAGCAGATTGTTATTAAGCAATTTCTTTAGGACACGTTTTTTGTATCATTCTGAACTGTACTACATGATTAACTGGTTAGGGAAGCTTCAATTATGATATAAATGCTATCAAGACATCGAGTATGTCTGTGTTATAATCGCAGTACTTTACCAACTTGCTTTTATAAGTTCTGAATTTTTATTTTGAAATGACTGAACGCTTTATAAGATAGCAAAACATTTGTAAAAAGTCAATGAAACGCGTGAATAATAGTTTATTTTCAAATCAACGATACGTTGATCGTTATATTTCAAGCCATAGGCGCCACAATGTATTATTTAATGGGTATATTTTTCCTGTATGTACCCTGAGAACTGCAATTAAACGAGTTATCTAAGATCAGAATGAATATTGCCCCTGACTCTACGCGACATTTAAATTTCTGATAGGTTTTATTGCAAAATTAAAACTCAACATATTTCCACCGTACATAATTTCTAACCTGAACACGATCTGATAATAAATCGTTGTTACATTTACATACAGGGTGACCCACCAACAGCGAAACAAGGCCGAATTTAATAGTTGGTGTTAACAAAAAAAATCGCTTGGACTGTCAATTTTTATTTTGTAGAGGAAGTCTATTGCACAGAGTATATGCTTTATAACTTTCATCTCCTGAGTGGGGTGAAATCCAACCATTGAATTTCAAATGAAAATGAAATTGGGGGTCAAGTTCAATAGGCCAATAGTTTCATTTCGCAAGAACTCAAACTTGTTCAACATCTAGAAATAAAACCACTTTTCTATGGAAAGAAGTTCAAACCAATTTACTGATGAA